AATGGAGTTGAAGTGCCCAGGCCCGGCAGCTCTGAGCCCCGAAGAGCACTCGCCAAACCCCGACAACACAGCGGTTTCGACTCTCACAGCTTGTCGGGCGTGAGCGATACAGTGGATTGTCTGCATGTTTTAGCGTGAGAGCTGCCCCAGGTATGTATGTATGTATGTATGTATGTATGTATGTATGTATGTGTACATATATATATATATATCGTGTTATTTATTTGCACGCCTATCTATAAACATCAAGCTCAATATGCATATCTATGAGCTGCAACTCCGGTCTAGGTCAATATTGACATGTGTACAGTTTTGAAAGCGAGTACCGATGCCAGCTGCAAACTTGCTCTCCGGTCAATACTACGGCTCCCAGGCCCTCGCTGCTCCAGAGCACGTGGTTGAACCTACGTAGTATATGTAAACGGCTCTCAAAGCAACGTCGCCGAGCTGAGAAGAAGTGCGAGGTGCTAGGATATGCCAAGTGTTCTGAGAAGATGTCCGGAACTGCCGTGCAGTGAAGCATTCTAAAAGCGATTTGGCCAATACCGCCCTGTCTGCAAACCTTTGCAGATGCAGCGGCCGCGAGCCTCAGAGGGCAAGGCAGGCCATGAGCCGATGCATGTCTGAAGCATTCTCAACACAAGATACAGAAAGCTGGATGCTTCAGGCATTGGGGCTAAGGCGGCTAAAGGCCGTACCAGCGTGTAATGCACGGTCCCCGAAGCAACGCATGCGACGGACTTGGACACCATGATGCAATTTAATCTAGTTGCCGACAGTATCATTGATCCCTTCCCCCAAGGAATCAGCAGCCACTAGTACAAAAAGTTCAACTGTCCTGGGAAGAGCTGGCATAACTCACCTTGTCTAGTTCAGTTACGTGTCTGTACGCGGGCTTGTTGGTGCAGCCGTGCCCTGACTACAACCGCTGACTTTCAAGACATCCCAAGAATCGTTGAATTAAGGGGCAGCCCTCAAATTGGATGTGACGGACACTTCGACCGTCCGTCGTCTTCTGCCAGACTTTTCCTGCCAGAAGATCATCATCAACCCCCCTATAAACCCAGCCCCAGCCGAGGAGCAACTCAGTTCCGCTTTCGCGGACCGCCTTCGGCGCGGTGAGCACCCCCCATGCCTGCCAAGAGGAACGTGAGAGAGAAGGATGTCTACGATCGAGATCGCTTATCCGGGTAGACAGGGTTTGTTCGACTCTCACGCTCGAACAAGGCCGGCAAGGCTCCGAGGGTTCTACAAGGTCTACATGTCTACATTTGTCCCCTCAATAGCACAGCCGTGTTCTCGCTTTAGTTCGACCATCAACGGCTACTACCGCTCTACTTGCACGAGCGAGCACCAAGCAAGTGTCGAAACCGTCATGCTGCAAAACAGGGCCACATCTCAATCAAAATGGCCATGCATTGCAAGCGAACAGCCTCATTCAGCGAGTTGCCCCAGCCCGGCATGAGGCGCGCAGCCGAGGGCAAAGAGAAATGCACAATAAGACTAACCTTGGAGTCTTTCGACAAACATGAACATGCCTGTGCCCCGTTGGTTCTAGGGACTACTGGTACGATGTGCATATGAGTCTGCACGATGAATAGCGCGTTTCGTGCAAGGGCAGAGAATACGGAGAAAGTGCTATCGACCTTTGGGCTGAGTGCCTTACCATGACTTGCCTTGTAAGCGACGTGTAAGTATGAACGAGATGGTCTGGTGAACACAGGTCAGAATTCAATCGAGCATAATTAATCTACTGACGGAGGTTGGCATAAACCATGTAGCACAGACTTCCGATTCATACTTCCTGCTCGTACATGGATGCCGCCCCTTTGGGCCAGCGGCTGCGAGTTTAGCACGTGGACATCTGCCAGGACACAGGGAAATCAAGATGAACATCTGCTTGGTGGCGAGTGTGTTTAGACAGGAAGGCAGTCCAAGAAGGGCATTCCGTATGTAGGCCATACCCGAGAAGCCGCAGCCAAGTGATGTGCTGACGGGCCGGCGCCTGGTTTCTATCAGGCTATCAGGAAGCATACGGATGCAGTGGCGCACCCCTGCAGCAACGGTGCCACTGGAAGTTCTGCGCCATCGCTCCTGGCCAGTGCTGTGGCTTTCTCGAGTCCGCTCCTCCCCTTGCTCATGCTTTCGGTGCAGATGCTCTTCTGTGTTTCTGCGGGCTTACTGCCGTCCCTTCCAGCATGCCTCATTAGCCATCGTCCACTCGTGTGATAGGCTTCTTCCCGAGAACAAGTCTTGTCTTGGCACCGCTGGGCTCGTCGAGAAGCCAGTCTACACAACAAACTTCGTGAGGCAGGATAGGAAAGCCGAGTTTGGAGGACACATCGCTGAACAGTCAGGAAAGGCCAAGCATGCCGTGCATATGGGGTGCACTCGGACCTGTGTGCCTTGCAAGCGAATGAGGGCAAGTGAGCTCAAGACTTCTAGCAGCTTCTACCTTGTACTACGATATCGTGCTAGATATTACATATACTATACCATACTATGTTACATTATCTACTATACTACGTATCTACTATACTAGATTCTAGCATACTATAGAATACTATGGTAGGTGTTCCTCTTCTGCGCCCTCTACCTTTTCCTCGCTCCCTCTCGACTTCAAAACTCGCAGCCACCCAATCTAGAATCTAGAGTTCTCGTGCCACGGCCAAAGGTCGTCAGCACCTCCACACCATGCATGAAAGCACTGCCGAAGCGAAAAGCGCACGAACGCGTGCTTCGACCCCTTCAACTCTGGTTGCGCACATCTGCGTGCTTCTATCCATGCATCTCTGGCACCCCGAATCTCGAAGCTTGCCAGCCTAGCGAATGCATGACGACAGTTTCGGGAGCCTGTGAAGCTGATGTGATGCTGTTGCTGGGCATGCGAGTCCTGGTCACAAAGCAGGGTTCACTTTTTACTTGTTACGGGCACCAGCTACATTGCAGCCAATAGGGTCGCAGCGAGCTGCAGCCCTTAAGGCAAGCCAGGTTGGAAGGGCTTTCTTGTACTCGGGGTAGGCTCCAAGGGGGAGAGGTTGCGGTATCGGCTTGCAGGTTATTTCTGTTCACTCAGTGGAGCTAACCTCCGGAATCGCGGCTTGTGACACTGTCTGGTGCAAAAACAGCTGTCGTGGTTTCGCGTCCTGTCAATGCCTTCCAGCCGTGGCGTGATCTCACTCGAAGCATTTGTGTATGCCTCGGCCGAGGCACCCATCGTGAGGAAGCAATGTGCACACCGCACACATCGTGTCGCAGAACTGGTGGCTGGACCAAGAACTGCAATCAAGCTCAACCATGCTTCAGCACGGCATTGCCCTCGTCCCCAAAGCATGCCACACTCGATCTGAAGTGATTCTGTCGTGCAAAAGGAGGCTGCAACACCAGCCACTGATGGCGTCCATGTTGAAGACTGCGACTCCTGGTGTGTACTGCTGAAAGCCACGCCAAATCACGCTGTGCTTTTCATGCCCGTGATGGAAAGAACATTCGGAAGAGGTCCTCCTCCTCGTCGAGCATGCCGTCATCAAACCTCCGGACTGGAAGCACTCAACAAGTAAACTCAGCGTCAGAAACTTGATCTTCACCGATTCTCGGAATGGCCGTGATGCTTTTATGGGGACGCCTGGAGCCCCCGTCCTTAAGAACTTGCAATTGAGGGTCAGTTGCAAAGTTTCCTCAGCTGACTAGCAGCAGGCCCTCATCTGCGAGCAGCAACTGACTTATGGACGGGCTGCTTAATAAGAAGTAGCACTCTCAATACTGGATAATTGTCTTCCTTCCCTTCTACGTATATCAATGTCTACTTGCATGCATGTAAGCATGCATGCACGCATGCATGTGTCTGTGTATGTGCAAGCATACTCATATGTATGCATGTATGTATGTATGTATGTACGTATGTATGTATGTATGTATGTCTGTATGTACGTGTCCCGGTACCATCACCTCTATAAGCTTTGACGACTGCGACATGCTGTGCAGAAAACCCTCGAGCGCTGTTTTCGATGCTCGCTCGGTATGTGCGGCATTCATCTGAAACTACACGGTCAAGTGAAGCCATCTACGATCAGCACTGCTACAAGAATCACAAGAGTCGCGAGCCATCACTCTCCATGTGAGGAGATGTCTGACTGCATGCGTCGGAGCGCAATTCGCTTGAGCGCTCGTCCCTCGCATGCTCCTATATACTCCGGTTGAGTACCCTTGGCGGGCATGGTGATCGACACAACTTGTATAAGAATTGCGAACGCCTGCCGTCGCCTCTCCACCCCCGCCTGTGCATCGGAAAGTCTCTAGCATCATTATGCAGAACCATCAGATCTGTGTAATTGTACAAGTGTACGAATCACACGGAATGTGATCAGGACAGTGCCCGTGAGTCGTTTGATCCACACCTCACTTATGTCAAGGCAGCAACTTCGTTGCGCCAAGTTGTCAAGTCTAGTAGATCACCCGGCAGGAAACCACGTCGTCGCACGGGATGTCTCGCGTTGGCTCTGATAGGGAACCTTTCCACCCCGGCAAATGCTATAACGCAACCCCAGGAAACGACGAGGAACTTTGGCCAAGGTCGATCGCAGGTCCCATACAATTCAAGGATTGCTACTCAAAATCTTGGTTCCCATGGCTTCTTATTCGTATGCCACCCGTTTCCATGTGCCTTTGTGAACTGAACTCCATTGCACCACTCAGCAGAAACCACGGGAGGCCACAGCGAATTCTGACGTCCTGATTTGAATTGCATCTTGCCCATGGGCTGATCTGTGTGGGCCACCTGTTTGTGTTGCCGGTCTAGGATGGCTCTCTATCCGACGTTGGGGAGGGAGACCAGCCCCATTAGCCTGCCAGACGGAACTATTGAAACGAAGTTACCATGCCGCCACAGACTACTCTGCTAGCCTGCAAATCGGCCCACGTGCAGTTCCAGACAGTGTCAAACCACTGGTGCAGGATTTCGGAACCATATAAGCATGCTAGTGGAGAGACTCCACAAGCAGTCACACCCGATCAGCGGCGAAGTAAGATGCTGGGTGCCCGATGGCAGTCGGTTCGAGGCCGGTGTGTGTGCGAATCGAGAAGCCTTCAGTGCGCAGCTTGCATGATGACACTGACAAGGCAGGCTGTCCTTGACTGAAGCTACACCTGACGTATTGCGGAAGGGCTCACGAAAAGACAAGATGAGGAAGAGCATGCTACACTGATTACTGGGTCCAAATGGCCTATGTCTGCTGCATCTTCTAGCAAACGAACATGTACACATAGAAGCTCCTTTAAGATATGGCCCGGAGAACCTGAGGTGCGGTGAGCCACTATGAAGGGCCCTATAGATCTAGATTCCTAGAGATGCTGCCATGCGTCGGCCACTCCCCACTTGCAGCGCTGAGACGGAGGTGTCATACGCCGCGAAGACTCCAACCTCATTCCACAGGTGCTTGATGCCTTGCACATATCTGCTGTCTCGGGACTCGTTCGGTGAAGCTTCTTCGCATCTTGCTGCACACAATACGGTGGATACATCTTGTTGACAAGGGGCGATCTCGAAAGAGTCTTCTGGTTGCATATCTTTTCGTCGCCGCGAGCGCATGTGTCCGGAGCACTCCTCGGCAAGTTTGGAAGTTTCATAAAAATTGCTGCAACCTGAAGCTGGCATAAGGCTGTGAAAAGCCGCCAACTATGTCTGCCCTCTGACGAAGATCATTAAGGCCTAAAGTGCAAAAACCACTCGCCGGAGCACCAGATAGCAGCAGGCATCTGAACCGTGGTCCAGGAATGCTTGCAGCAATCTCAGAGGTCTGGGAGCCCGAGCGAACGCAAGACCGGAAGCGCTCTGCGGGACCTCACCTTGCTGGTGTTCCGTCTCTGCAGGCTTGAGGAGTAGCTGAGTAGCTCCATGGGTCGTAGGCACATGTTTCTGATGACAGAGAGCTTGAGAACTGAATGTTTAAGTGTAGGGGTTGCAGTTGCAGTTGCAGACCGTGAATGCACTCGAGGTTTTAGCATGTAGGCTCCTCTGCCCGAACCGCAACAGAAGGACTGCACTTGAAAAGGCCGCGTCGCGCCAGGTCAACTCGCCCGTCTCCCGGTAGCTGCCGGCCTGAGATGCAGAGCCAGGCCAAGAAATCCCTATAATAACATATTATAGTATATAATATAATATACTATTATATGACATTATTATATTATACTATATTATATCCCAACATATCCCAACTGCTGTAGCGAACGCAACATTCGCCCGAAAGCCTCATTCCTGGATAATGCTGGCATCTCAACCTCGAGCAAGGAACAAATGCTTAGAGCAATGATATGCGGACCCCAAGTAGTGGATCCCAAGTGGCAAGTAGAACTGCAGAGGCTCGTAATTGATGGAAGCCCGGTATGCCTCTTCGATATAAAAAACTCCACCACCGGCACCGACTACGACTGCTACTTCCCACTCCTCCCCTAAACCCTAAACCCTAGAACCCTAAACCCCTAAACTCCTAAACCACCTAAACCCCTAAACCCTACCCCTAAAATCCCTAAACCCCCCAAACCCCCTACCCCCAAAACCCCTAAATTCCTAAACCCCAAACCCCCTAAACCCCCTAAACCCCTAAATCCCTAAACCCCAAACCCCCAAGCCCCCTAAACCCTCTAGTCTAGTCTAAGGCCCCTAAGTCCCCAAAACCCTATCCCTCCAGAAACTCCTGGGAGCCGAGGGCCGCACGGTCAGCTTGTAGCTGGATAAAGAGTCACTGCCTTGACCCACCTCGGTTTTTTTCCCCTCTCGCATGGCTGAGGATCAATGCCCACAAGCGAGGTGGCTCAGGGACAAAAGACCACCTCGGTTTAGGATTTAGGGTTTTTTTTTCCCATCCGCTTCGCTGACTAGATTTACGCTCTCACAACTCGGACATGCCAGGCGAGGTCAATGGTACGTGGTCGGCGTGAGACAGGAAGCAAGGACCCCTAGCTGCATAGACCAAACTAGATTTAGGGTTTTAGGGTTTAGGGCCACCTGAACAAAAACTGGACTCTTGCTTAAGGGGGTTTTAATTTTAAGTTACTATAGTAAGGAAACCACATTATTTACTATAGTTCCCTATTTATGGTAATTTGAAATAATTAAATTTAAGTATAAACCCCTTAGCAAGAACCCAAAAAGGGTGTCGACTCACACACAAAAGCACAAGGCAGGGCAGGAAAACACCAAGGGATTTAGGGAAAACCAGGGCTGAAGCCATGTGATGTGGGTGTCACGAAATATGGTTGTTGATATTTGCTAAAGTCTGCTTCTTCTCGGTTATGAGGCTAAGCTCCAAAGGCCAAATCCGATGTCTCAGTGTCCTGAGAGTTACGGCATGGGAGGCCGATCCCAACGAGAAGAAGGACAGAACGAGGAGATCCAACTACAGTACTGATCCTGTCGCACACCCAAGCTCCAACCACCCTGAGAACCTCAACCGATGTGGCTGCCGTGCTTTCTGGTGCAGGCAAGGTGCCAGCCGACCTCCTCTTTGGAAGGTGAGGCTATAATCCTGCGGTAGGTTGTGCTTTTTACGAATATGTTGGACTTGGACTGAGTTGGGCATCTGTGGCACAGGAAGACAATCCGGGAATTCTGACGAAGCACTGCAGACACAAGCTTGCAACTGCAAGTCTCGGAATGCAGATGCATGCCATCCAAATGCGAGTCTTTGAGAAACTGAATCGCGAAACCCGCGCCCTCTGCGTGTTGAGTCCTTGCTCGTTGGTGGATCAAAATGCCGATGAAATCGGGACCTCGTGCAACACCACTTCACTTCACTCTGTTATGGCTTGCATGAACTCATCCAATTCAAACCAATCCACGAAGCCTACTACAGTACAAGGTTTCACGGTCGTGACGGACAAGCAAAAGGATTACTCAGTATCTTATCCTTTTGAACGAGGTCTCTCTGAAGTAGATTAGCTGAAACCCTAAACAAATTGGGAATTTCCCGGCGCCGGCACTGTAGCCTTCGAATCATCGGCCAGGTGACAGCTGAGTCCACGTCCAGGAGCCGGACCAGGAGCTGGGACTCAACGACTGGCACCTTTGGATTTCTGCATTTTTGGGGCTACCCTTTTCTTATGGCGGGAGGAAGAACTCCTGTAAAGCAAGCTCGAATTCAGACGATAAGATTTAGGATCTACTTTGCACTTCTCGGCGATGGGATTCTAGGTCCGGGGGTTGGCGCGCCGCCAGGACCCTGCGAGGCCACGGATGGATCAGATCCCAGGTGCCGTCTCGCAGACAGGTCGACGTCCGCCAAGATCCAGTCGCTGGCCGTACTCCTTTGCCTATCCGGATGCTTCACACGGACAAGACATTCAGCAAATGAGTTGAGAAGCTGAGAGTGACGTAGAGGTAGCATGGGCCCTGAGAAGGACAGCCGAAACTTCCTGAACAGCCGCAAGCGTTTACAATAATGCTAGTTCGGCCTACTCGTACTCAGTGTTCTTGTGTCGTTACTGATGATGGTGATGGTAATGGTGATGGTGGTGGTGATGAACGGTAGTCATCTTTATCATCATCTTCATCAGCATCACCATCATCATCATCATCTCCATCGACATCTGTCGTGTCAGTCCTATCATGTCGGTTATCATCTTCACCATCATAACTATTCGGCCTGATGCGCAGCAGCATCTTCTTCTCTGTAACTGACAATTGCAGTGCCTTCCCTTCCTCCCCAAGTCTGGGCCTCGGCGGCTTCACCAGCACCTGCAGGCAGCCGGAAGCCAGGCGGGACACAACCCGATAAAAGGGCCCTCTGAACAGGCCAATAAGCCTAAGACTGATGAACTGATGACGACGGCAAAGAAGAAAGCACCTATAGGCACGCAAGTGGAGCAGTGCGCACCTTGAACCTGTCCGTAACTCTTGCACACCTTCCTGATCCAACCCTGTGCTCAAGCGCAGCATTCGCATGCCAGCTGCCTCCGGCTGTACGTCGGCGAGCTGCACCTGGCAAACACCCAGCCACCCAGCGTGAGCAGACTCGGAGTCAAGCACGGCTCTGACAAGCATGAAACGGCAACCTGACCTAGTTTCCTGAAGTGACAAGGCTCCTTCGTGCTTCCAGCAAGGCTTCCCTGCAACAACAAAGGGCGCCCGACCGGCCTCTGGCTGTATGTCAGAGAGCTGCACCTCGGAGATCGGTATCTCCACCTCCCGAAAGCAGGTCAGGACATACAGTACCGTTGTCTGTTCTCGCGGCCGATCTAGCACCCCCAAAATGGTGGTCATGGCCTCATGCCTCCTAGCAAGAGCCTTCAAGCGGAATACAAAAGTAGCTTACCAGCTCTCACACGCATGGGACCTCGCATCGACAAACGAAGCTTATTTAGGCTTAGGCTCTTGAAATCACAGGACTTACACGAATCCATGAAAGCATCTGCACAGATACCGTTAACATCATGGGCACCCCTAAAGTGTAGACCCTAAACCCCTAAACCCCAAACCCTAGACCCCATGGAATGCCGCGGTTTCGCGCCTGCGTTGACGGTGGCGGCAGCTCTTCGGGCGGCGGCTCCTCTGGCGGCGGCAGCGGCGGCTCGGCCTGGGCAGCCTGGGCCTCCTCTGTGTGGCCCTCGGCCTCTGTGGCCTGGACGCAGCGCAGGAGTTGTGAAAGAAATGGGTAGCATGATTCTAGGATATATGGTACATCACAAAAGGTTATAATTAACGGATTACAGCACCGCGGCATAGTCTAAAGCCACCAGCACCAGTGCAACAGAAGAGCCAAATATCTGTCTACACCCTTCACTCAAAGCAATTGCCGATAATCTCGGAACATGAACATCGATCGATCCAATTCTGCCCCACAATTCAGCGGGGAGACTGTGTTGGTGCCTGGGCCGCTTCACAAGCTGAAAACTGGAAGGACAATGTTTACCGCTGGGACAGTCTACTTACACACACGCACACTCGTCTAATCAGTCTACAGTTCTTGCGAAAAGGATCGCAACGGGATTGAAATTGTTACTCAGTAAAATTTTTATTTCTGATTTTGGGCGCTGCTCAAGCAAGCTGTGTGGACAGTGCAGCCGCACGATTCCTCTTCATGCCTAGTCGGCGCATGCATTCACATGCAGGGAGCAGCAGACCCATGCACGGAAGAAGTCACCGAGGCTGCAACGGGTGTATAAAGGCAGGTCTCGAACAGATCCTTCGCAGGCTTGGCGGGCGGTTAGAACCCTAAGATGCCAACACGGCCCCGCAGTCAGACTCGGTTACTTTAGTCGCATAACTTCTTGCTTGCATAACTGTAGAAGGTTGGATGTGCAGGCCCAATCCCCCCCCCGTCACCCCTACCTTTGCCCCGCCCATCCCCCATTCTCCAACCATTCCATGGTAACTTGGAACATTGCGGAACAAAGGTCCTGTCATCACCTCCAGCGACGAGATCGGCGAGGCAATTCCATTCGAGGTAGTGGGAATTGTGCTCGGGACCTCGAAAGTTTAACTCAGATCTTGCGATGTCCTGAAGGTGTCTGTGCTCTGTTCGGGGGGAAGTCGCGGTTCTCGCGGCATATGCACGGTCCAAGTCCAATTGTTGTTCAGAGCAACAATTATCTAATTCGATGGACGTTTATGAAGGTTTCGCCACGGTACATAGTGGATGCGCAGACTTCGATTCGATGATGCCCCCTGGAAGTGAGGACATGTTACGAGTCCATGCATTCCTGGCCTAGAGCTGCCCACGCGCTCGAACAAGCCTCCTCTGCTCCTCTACTAACGAGATACTACGAGGATTCCACATCCTCCGCTTTCAAAAGAATCAACCTTTCGAAAGCAGAACCGAAGCTCCTCAACTTCGGATGCGTTTAGCCTTGGAAATCGCCCTGGCAGGATTCCCCAATTCCGTCTTAGCTGTCGCAAGGGCCATACTCTGTCCTCAACTCTTACATCCCGGCCCGAAGAAGAGGCATCTTTCCCAGTCGGGCTGGGACTCTCTGATTCTCACATGACACCAGTCGTGCCTCCACAACAGTGGCCAGCTTTGGCGGCGGGAGCATTTCGTTGTCGTCCTGGTGCGAGGATTGCAAGTTAGTTAAAGGCGCACTTGTGCCCGAAGGGTTTGTCAGGTCCGTAGATTCATGTCGTGTTGACGCCGATTTCTGACTTCGTAGGGTCCAGGGCCCCAACCCGGACGCTGGACCCCGTTCGGTACGTGCTCCACGTGCAGAACTGCGCCACAGCCGGGTCGAGCGCGACTTATTTGTGGAGGTCTGTGTTGAGTTAAACTAAAGCCTTTTAGGGGTCGGGTTCCCAAGCCACAAGTCATGCCTTTCCTCGAAGTTCCTTCGGACCTGAACTTTCACTTTCCGGCCTGTGGCAGATCCGTTTTGGAGTACGGCGGCTCTTCCGCCGGCTGCGGACGGCCTCAGCGAGCGCACGCAAATGCCAAGGTTTCCGCCAGGTTTGCTTTAAGGATGAGGGCTCTTGGCATATATTTATAGAAACGGCAACTACACTTATAACTTATGACAAAAAACGTATATACCGTACAACCCTATAACCATACTGTATCATATTCTAGGACTTTTAACTCCGCTGTCCACCTCATGTTGCTTCCAGGATTGCTATCATTGCTAGTTTCGGATTCAGCGGATACTTTTCGCGGCAAACTGGATCGAAAATTGCTTTCTTTCGGACCGGATGACAAGCAGTCTTTCAAGCTAGAGCCATGAAGCCGCAACCGGCAATATGAAAACGGGCATGGGCTGCAAGAGTACCAAGCTTGAGAATACAGTTGGAACGTGTCACTTCGAAAACTCCACTCAACATCTTACCCCGCAACGTCTGGCACTGTGTCAGTCAAGTGTTTTCCAAGGGTGTTACTTTACTCTGCCACCATCATGGCAAGTCATGCCTGGAAGCCTGTGCATACTCCGGACGATTCAAGCTTGTCAGACACATCGGAATCTAATGATGCTAGATGTTGCTCTGTCACTTACTCGCCGATCTCAGAACAAGACACGGCATCAACCAATCATGAACCCTCAGGAATCCTCCGTTCTTCCCCATAGACAGCTCCGAGGCGACTCCCATGCTACTCGATCAGCTCCTAGAGCCCTCGACTGCCCCGACTGGCACCACAAAAGCTCCCAACGTTGGCCTCTTCTGCAACCCCTCAGAAATCCTAATGAACCAAAATAGGCTTGATTCCCAACAAGCCTCTCAAGGTCTCGCCAGCCCTTCTCAAAGCCGAAGGCCCTTAATGAACCCGCTTTCCTTCTCTTCCTGGGCCCAACGGCTGCAACCCTTCCAGATCATCAAACCAAGCAGACAGAGGATGGCGGCCCCCGCCTCAGTGCGACTGCGATTTCGGTTTTTGCTTGCACCCTTCGGCATCAGCGCTCGGATATTTTGGCCCGGGGGAGCTTTACCTCCCACCAAGGTGAGGATTTAGGTTCGGGGTTTGGAGTGGGCGGGGACTCCGGTTTCACTCTTCGCAATGCCAGGCGAGGTTCTGTTGCGTTGCCGCTTGGAGCTAAGACCTATGTTGAAGTGTGGTCGATAAGCTAGCTGAAGTCGACCATCCTCGAACAACAACAACTTCGGAGGAACTCAGCAAACGAGGATTCGGGGATCAATAGCCCGCGCCTGGGAGGGTTGCCGCAAGGCAGGACGCCAAGGAATCTGAAGTGAAACCTACTTTGCATAATCGGTTGGGGAGCAGAACTCAAGACGCAAAGGTGTAGCGCGGGGAGGCCCAGGCAACCCGAATCAGCCTATGCGTAACACTTAGTGCCAGCCAGCTTGGTCTGGTACAGTTTGCACTTAGAGAGCAGGGCTTCGAGCAATGTTTCGCAAAAGCGATGTGCGGGTGTTACGATTGCGCAAGGGTACCGTTAGGGCTAATTCTGTGTATTCCTCCTTTGATCAGCGGTTGAAAACGGCCCATGTCCAACCTGCGCAGTAGCCTAAATAAATCAACAATGAAGCGTTTAAAACCTTGCCAAGTCCGCCACTGCAATGATGAAGACGATCGGCAAGTCATCGGAGCCGCCCTTCCACTTATGTTCGTCGACACTCGCACACTCAGGGTCGGGATTCTCTGCATGGCATGCACGACTCTCCCAGAGCGGGATGCCCTCTGCAAAGTTTCCTTCCGCCCTTAGCCAACTTTAGCCGCTAGCGAGCACACCCTGTGGGCCCACCGTCCCTTCCCCTTCAGCAGGTGCGATCGCTGCAGTGACCACGAAATCCTGCCGGCTAGCCGAAGTTCAAGAAGCACGCGACAAGAGCTATTCAGCTTCTCTTCTGCAAAAGCAACGTCAAGATGTAGGAGAGACCGATGCAAGAATCGCTGCGGGCAGCGGAGAGGCGCTCCTCGCTGGGAGCGCTGCCAAGAGAAACGAGCTCCTGCGGAGTCTCTCAGTCCAAGATTGACTGTTCCATGGCAGGGGCTGTCAGGGCTAGCAAGACTACCTGGAGGCCTCTGCCACTCCAATTATAGACCTGGGGAACCTGGGGCAGCACCTTACAATCATTCCAGCTTTCTGTGCTTAGCATCCACGCACTGCGGAGTCAGGGCCAAAGACTCCAAACACCATGACTTGTTCAGTATATACGTAACATGTTGAAACGTCTCACATACCTGTAGTTAACAACAGCCTGCTCATCTGTAACACAAGAAGCCGGCACTTGACTTGACCAGCCCACAACCCATCAGCCACACAATCCGCGCTGGTGCAGTCGAACCTCACGGAGTAAAGCGTCGTATCCAGCGGTGCTGCTGGCCAGCTCCTCTTCGCAAACACGCTTGTCATATGGCAGAAAGCCGCTATGTTCGTAACAGGCCGCCGCAGCCACCAACACAAATGCAGGAGTTATTTTTCCGAATCAAACTAGACGGAGAGGCTGCGGATGAGCTACCACGCGGCACCCTGTCGGCACGTAAAGTCCAACCGCCGTGCAACTGAAGGAATTCAAGGGTTCTCTAGGTGACCTGCCGTTGCTGCATGTTGCACGGAACATCTTCATTCTGATATCCTCAAACTTATACATAATGGGAAAAATGAACAGATCGCGGCCTCAAGGCGCTGTCGCACCCAGGGCTCATCCACCTCGTCGACGAGAACGGTGAAGTCCACATGCCAAATGTCACCTGAGCACCGTGCGGCCGTGCCTCAGCACCCTCACATATCTCAACCCCGACAGTGTCGCCAGTGCCTCAAGTCGTGCCAACGTCACACAACGTAGTTGGGGCCGAAGTCTCTAGCACGGCGATATCCGTGAACTACAGAGGACTTGTGGCAGCAAAAACACTTGTAGCGTCTTCCTGCTGGGCCCAGTAAATTGACAGTTTGCGATTTGTATACGTAAGCCTTGTTCAATCTCCCCTGCCCGCAGGTGGCACCACTGCGGCGCCTTTACCACATGTGTGGGATTCAGACTCAGCTATAATTCACAACGGCTAAGAACGGCTCGAGCTGCCAGCAAGGGCTGGCATCTGCCTCGGGTCTTTGGTCGGAGCCGAGTCGCAGCCCTCAATCGAAGGACTTACCGCGCTCCTCACAATCTGAACCCCGGAAGCCAAAACATCCCAAAGAAGCCCCAAACCCACTGAAATCCAGCAAGGCACTTAGCCGCCGCGGCAGGCTTTGCGAGCGTCTTGCCGAAAGTCGCCGAGTGCTTGCGCTTGCTCGGGCTTCAGCCTTGATCTGCTGATCTTCTCATGGTGTTTTTCCCTTGCTCTGCCTGTGACGGCTTTGTGGTTTTGCACTCGCACAAGGCAGGCATGGCTTCGAGACGAGTCTACCGCGACATCAGGGCACGGAAAACCATACCATCACACTGCCACTTTCAATCCCAATAAGTTACCAATCGATCTGCAGTATCGCCCATGCACACATCATGTACTTAACTGTACTTATGTACCACCAACACATCATGGGGATCCATTGAAGCGCTTTCCCTCCTATCATGCAGGAAGGTGGGATCCTAGACTAGACATAGCTGGCTTGCCGAGCTGCTGATGCAGTAAAGACCGACTGCGGCAGGCCTGCCGTCGGATAGGGCATACGCTTCCCTGAAGCAGAAGCAGCAGCAGCAGCCGCAGCGGCAGCGGCAGCGGCAGCAGCAGCAGCTGCAGC